CCCCTTGGGGCCCAGTTTAAAACCCGGGTGGGGGCCCACCTTTTATTGCCCCCCTCCCCCCTAGGTGTTACTTTATAACGAAGACCCCCCCCCTTCCCCCCCCCCCTCCATTTCACCACGACGCTAAAGCATAGGGCTTGACGAACCCTTGCGACCCCCGACGTCACGCACCACTGACTTCATGACCATGTGTTATCCACCTCTCACATTTGCTGCAATCCGTTGACAGGAAGTGAGGAGTTCAGAGGCCATCATCGGATTTCTGGTGAGTCGGGAGTTCACCGTGACGAAACACTACAGGGGCATCAAGACGGCCTTCAAGGCCGAGTTCGGGGAAAATGAGTTTGGGGGCAAGAAGAAGCCCAACATCTGCCTGGTGTGCCGCTACGACGCCGTGCGGAAGAAAGGTCACGTGAACGGAAACAATCTCGTCGTCCAGGCAACGGTCGCCGCGGCCTTGGGATTGAAGGCCGTTATAAGGGCCTCGTCATCCAAAATTGGCAAGGTGAGAACCTCTTTTACGTCTTTAAGTTTTTTTAAAATCTTTTTTTTTTTGTTTGTTAAGCAGTGCTTCTCAGATTGGTTGACCGTGGACCAGAATCCTATGCTGGCTCCCCCACCCCCTGTCAACATCCTTTAACAAAGGGGCAACATAAATGTCTGTGTGTTAAGCAGTGCTTCTCACATTGCCTATCATTGCATTATTATCCTACACGGGGCCCCCCGGTCACCGTATCACATCAAAAAAAAAAAAGGGGGGGGGGGAACTTAAGAAGAGCCATCAATTGAGTACCATTCCCTGTTGCGATGTGGCTACATCCCTGCACTTCTGTCACACCGAACAGTTTGATTAGCACTGGTGTAGTCAAAGCCTTCTATGTGTTTGAGCTAAGCGTGATGAACAAAGTGGCACAATGTTTCAACGAGCCTTCATTCAAAGAAACAAAAATAACCAAGATGTCCTAGCTCATCTCTGTTTTTAACTGTTAAACATCATGGTATGGATGAGTTGTACATATCAATAAATCATGTTATGGATGACTTGTAAATATCAATAAATCATGTTATGGATGAGTTGGAATTATCGATAAATCATGTTATGGATGAGTTGGAAATATCGATAAATCATGTTATGGATGAATTGGAAATATCAATAATCATGTTATGGATGAGTTGTAAATATCGATAAATCATGTTATGGATGAGTTGTAAATATCGATAAATCATTTTAGGGATGAGTTGAAAATATCGATAAATCATGTTATGGATGAGTTGTAAATATCGATTAACTCATGTTATAGATGAGTTGTAAATATCGATAAATCATGTTATGGATGAGTTGTAAATATCGATAAATCATGTTATGGATTGTTATGCATTGACTTGTATTGGGAGAAATTAATCTCCTATTTTAATTGGCTCGTTGTAATCAGTGCCTAACAAAGGACGATACCACAGAATCAACAATATTAAAGATACGACCCAAAACAGTTTCTAGTTACAATTAATAAGATTTATTATGTCTAAAGATAATTACAAAAGAAAATAAATAAAATTACAATCTTCAACTTACAGTATGGTGGATCTCGTACCGGTACACAGTTAATACAATTAGAAATAATGATGCCAATAAATAATGCGAAATAAACACATATAAGTAGGAGCACACAAATACACAAAGAATAAAACACGCCTCGTAATATTAAGAGAATCTATATGAAAATCTCC